CAGGAATGCTGTGGGAGATGGTATCAAAAGCCTTGCTACAGTCAAGGTATATCATGTCTACTGCTCTCTCCATATCCACAGAGCCAGTTATCTCATCATAGAAGGCGATCAGGATGGTCAGGCATGACTTGCCCATGGTGAATCCATGCTGACTGTTTCTACTCACCTTCTTCTCTTCCAAGTGCTTAGAGATGGATTCCTTGAGGACCTGCTCCATGATTTTTCTGGGAACTAAGGTGAAGCTGACTGGTCTATAGGTCCCTGGATCATCCTCCTTCCCTTTCTTAAAGATGGGACAAGTTTTCAAAGATAAAGGGCCAGTGGCTTTGCAATCACATCAGCCAATTCCCTCATCTCCCTCGGGTGTACTGCATCTGGGCCCATGGACTTGTACACATTCAGCTGTTCTAAATAGTCCCTAGCCTGTTCTTTCACCACTGAGGGCTGCTCATCTTCTCCCCAAACTGTGCTGCCCAGTGCAGTAGTTTGGGAGCTGACCTTGCCTGTGAAGATCAAGGTAAAAAAAACATTGAGCACTTCAGCCTTTTCCTCAGCATGTCACTAGGTTGCCTTCCCCACTCAGTAAGGGACCCACACTTTCCCTGATCTTCCTCTCCTCTTGTTGCTAACATACTTGTAGAAACCCTTCTTGTTAGTCTTCATGTCCCTTGCTAGCTGCAACTCCAGTTGTGCATGGCCTTCCTGACTTTATCACTGCATGCCTGAGCAATATTCTTATACAGGCAGTCCTTGGACTTATGACACAGTTGGTTCCTGAAAACCTGGTCTTAAGTCGACATGTTGTAACTCGGAACCAATGTTCTCATAAGAAACAATGTTATAAATGGGGGATTGGTTCCTGAACCAAGGCCCAATAACCTATTTTCACCAAAAATACCCAGAATTTTGTACTCGATCAATTATAGATGAGTAATATAGCTACATTAATGTATTTATATTGTAAATAGCAATCTCATTGATTTGGAAGGACTTCTTTGAGGTGACCTTGCTGGACTTTTTGAAGGGCTCTTGGTTGGACTTTTTGAAGGGTTCTTGGCTGGAGTCGTCTCAGGAGTCTTGGCTGGGTTGTTTTTGGGGTCTTGTCTGCTTTCTTAAAGAAAGTGCCCAAGGAAGTTTGGACAGATGTTCTCCAGGGAGATCGGCGATGCAGCAAACTTGTTTGCTGGTATGGCGTCGCATCAGGTCAAGCACTGTAAAGCCGAAACTGATGTCAGAAAGCTGAAGCAAGGTGTCAATTTATAAAGGTTGTAAGTGCAAAACATTGTAACTAGAAACGTTGTAAGTCAAGGACTGCCTGTACTCCTCCCAAGTTGTTTATCCAAACTTCCAATTCTTATAAGCTTCCTTTTGAGGTTAAGCTCACCAAAGAGTTCTCTGCTAAACGAAGCTGGTCACTTGCCAGATTTTCTATTCTTTCTGCAAATGGTTTGTTCTTGTGCCCTCAGTAAGGCTTCTTTAAAGTACAGACAGCTCTCCTAGACTCCTTTTCCCCTTGGACTGGCCTCCCAGAGGATCCTGTCCATCAGCTTTCCAGAGCCTGACAATGGGACTTTGATCCCAAAAGCTTGCAGAAAAGGACAATTTTCTTGCCATTTTCCAGTTGGTTTAATAAAAGGTATCATTTTGGAACCAAGAGTTCTATATTTTGTATTTCCCAGGCTCTGTGCATTTGTGTACAGACACCTGAGGTGACTGGGAATTGCCCTACTTTCTCAGGAAGAATGAGGCTTCCCCTGCTGCCCCCTCCTGCTTCTGCTTCCTCCAGGCCTCCCACTTCCCCATGTACCTCAGGGCTTTGTTCTCCATCCCCTAGTGAACCTAGTTTAAAGCCCTCCTCACTAGGTTAGTGAGCCTGTCTGAAAAGATGCTCTTCCTTCTTTATCAGGTAGATCCCATCTCTTCCTAGCAAGCCTTCTTCTTGAAACAACATCCCATCATCTTTGCTGGCAACACCACAAGCACAACCATGCATTGATCTGCAAGATGCACCCACTTCTGCCAGGGCCATTCCCCTTCACCAGAAGGATTGACAAGAACATGACCTGTGCCCTCATCCCCTTTACTTTTGCACCCAGAACCCTGTAGTCACTCTTGATCTGCTCAGGGTCACTCCTGGCAGTATCATTTATGCCCACATGGATGAGCAGCATGGGGTAGTAGTCAGAGGGCTGGATGAGTCTCAGTAATCCTTCCGTGACATCTTGGATCCAGGCTCCAGGCAAGCAGCAGACCTCCCAGCAGGGGTGATGCTTAGGGGGTGCACGTGTGTGCACATGCACCCCCTGAGCATGGCAGTGCACCCCCTACAAAAAGGTGCTGCTGACATTGCTGGCGGTGCCTGTGGGCGATTGCCGTTCACCACCCCACCACCAACACCACTGGTGGCATTTATTGGCGGCCAGCGATCCTTGGTAGCAACAGTGCCGGCAGTATCTGCGGGAGCTCCCACTTACAGATGCCATGCTCCTGCCGCCGCCGTGCCCACCAGTCGCCGGGAGCATGCATCATTCATGCCTCCCAGGACAACAGGATGGGCTGGCAGATTAATCCCTCTGTCCTCTTCAGAAAGGAGTCCCCAACCACCACCACCATCGCTTCCTCCTCATGACAGTGGTCTCAATCCTTCCTGCCTTGGGGATTCCTGGCCTGGCCTCTTCCACCAATGGAATGTGCTCCTCCTCTGTTGCAAAAGCTCCTTTGAGGTAATTTTCATTTGAATGACTGTTCTGGCCTGTTTTGATGCAAGTCAAAAACTCAAGACAATCAACCCTGTATTAAACCAGGGTTTAGCTGAAGCGATAGCAGCAATATATCAATTATGACAGTGACAAGTAAAGGTCTGCGTGATGTCAGCTGTCCCAGGGAAACCACAGAGTATGTGGCCTCCATACTGAAGGGTCCTCTGCCAGCTCTGTGTACCCAGACAAGAAGGGACAGCTGTCAGCAGAGACAGATTAAGATTTATTGGGGACCTGGGCTCCAGCAAGGGAAGGGGCCCCTTCCTTTCCTGGTGCTGCTGCTATCAAGGGTGAGGTAGGCTTGGGGAAACTATAGCTACCCCAAAATTCAGTCTAGCCACCCCTACCAGTACCACCACTCAGTCACCCCATGCAAATGAGCCCGCAAAGGTGCAGCACTCTCAGCAAGCGTGGTGCCAGCCTCTTCCCAGTGGAGGGGGCTAGGCTCAGAGTGGGCGGGAGTGGGGCAGGCTCACCTGTACAGGGTGGGTGGGCAGCGGTGGCAGCAGTGCTGGGAGGGGTGGCTACAGAGGGGGCTAAGGTGAATTTTGGGGTGGCTATAGCCCCTTCAAGCCCCTGGCCTGGCCTGACACAGCCCAGCCCTGGTCCAGCCCCCCACTTTGGTAGGAGGCTGGTGCCCACAGGAGAAGCTGGGTGGGATGTGGGCTGCTTGCTAAGGGTTTGGTTCTCTCCTCTCTGCTGCCTTTGCCCCAGGGGCCCTGCGCTGGCAGTGTGTCCCCTGCCTACCCAGCAGTGGGAGGCATTATTCACTGCCCCCACAGCTGCCAGATGGGCAAGGGACGCACAGCTGGTACAAGGCCCCCAGGGCAAAGGCAGCAGAGCAGAGAGTTCTGAGCCTACAGCAGACAGTGCACATCCGTCCCGCACAAAAATCTGGGGGGGCACATGCCCCCCCCCCCCACGCCAACCCCCGGGGGCGACCCCCCCCCCCCATGCATCCCCTGGGAGTGCATGCAGTAGTGGGGAGCCACCTCCCCCTGTGCCACCTGGACAAGCCACACCCACGGCTCCATCCCACTCCTTGCCCTGGGTCCCATGCACTGCCCTCA